TGTGCCTTCAAAAAAGGAATAGGCAAATCTGATGCTTCTTTTCCAAGAGCCTCGCAATGCTGCATACTCACTGGTATTGCTTGATGGGCACTGCTGGTGTATACAATGAAATAGTAAATATGCAAAGAACCACAACCACACAGTGCACTGGATAACAAGAGATGAGTAAGTTTATACAACTGATGGGTTTTGTGCTACTCCTTCTGTGCTGAGAATTGGTAGAGTTGAGGGTGAAAGTGTCCAAGATAGTTTGACCAGGAAAAGGCTTCTTGTTTAGAGCTTGCAGAAGATAAGTGGTCTTGTGCCAAGATCAGTGAGGCTGGAAATGCATTCCCTGCAGTTAAAAATACGGGGAGATTCCCACATAATGGGGCTTCAGAGAGGAAATCTGGCAAAGCTGTGAACATCTGATCATTGTGTTCAAGGCCAGGCCGGATGGGGCTTTGAGCAACATGATCTAGTGGAAGGTGTTCCGGCTCATGGCAGGGAGGTTTGAACTAGGTGATCTTTAAGGTCCCTCCTAACCCAAACTATTCTATAATTCAAAGATTTTGATGCCTTAAAATTTATCTGTCCAGAAGCTCATAACTTCACTGATAATGCTGAGGGTGAGGTTGCTCCATCCTGTAATGCTGCCCTGTTTTCAAGAGAACGTCTTAGAATACCGAAGCTCTACAGGAGGAATAGGCACCAGTGTTTATTTCAGTTCCACTGCTTCCTGTATGGAAACCAGAAGATTCTCAATGTGTGGTCACTGACTGTAGGTGATTGCATACCCCTCTGTGCAGAGTTCTCTGCAACTGATCTGGGAAGCTCACTGCCTCAGGAAGCCATTAAATTAAATAGATATTTAACCTGGGGTGGCTAGAATGGCTTGGTGGAGCACTAGCACCACTTGCTTTGGGCCATCCACTGGTAACTGTGCTTTGGGCCATCCAATGGCCACCAGCTAGGATCCGTAGCTGGGTGGAGATAATCAGATGACCTGAAGTCATACTTTTTCAGTCTTAGGTCTTCTATACCTCTCTGGGTGTCATGTTCTGATGACTTGTGTGACAGGAGAAGCTCCTGCCTGAGCATTCTCACAGCATTCAAGGAGTCACACACACACCACCTAAGACTATAACTGCTGAGACCAGAGTACCTTTGCAGTGAGCAGGTCCAGTGAGCTGAAGGGTGCTCCTTTCAACTCCTCACTCACAGACACACCCACTCACAGGTGCACTTCTTCCTCCTTCAGGCTCAACCCTAGGTTTCCCACAGCAGAGTCTCAGGCATCAGAATTCATAAAAATAAACAATTTAACAGAGTAGTACAGCAGCAGGTCAGCTTGAGCTGGATGCCTTTGGAGAGGGACCCCAGAGAAAGAAATCCCTGGGCAATTCTAGCCTTCTGACTTACACACCTGCCTTTCACATGCTCTTAATGCACTTTTTTTAGTCCAATGGTGATTTTTGGTCTGAGGTCTTAATAATATCTTATTGGATTCTTCCTCTGTCTCCATGCAGCCAGGCTGTTACCTTATTTTATTGAGTTGATCTTCTGCTGATAGTTGTAGCCTCCTTTTCTTCTGGTTTGCACTTCTTGTGCACCTGCTCACTGCTAGAACATAAGCAACTAAAAAAGTCTTAAGGCTCAGGATAAATATTACAACTAAATCGTCAGCATATTATCAATATTATTCTCATACTAAAGACAAAAGACAGTACTGTACCACTTACTAGGAAAATTAACTGTATTTCTGCTGAAAGAATATCTCAGTGAAAGTCCACAGCTTGTGGCCCAAGGCTTCAGTAAATACAGCTACTCATGCTAAACAAGTAAAGCTAAACAAATAGCACTCTAAATCACACAATGTTATAACTATGACTCATTCTATTTAAAACTTATTTAAGCTAAACAACTAATATGTCTCAACACTTGATTATTGGCTGCTGCCTTAAATAAGTTCCCAGTAAAAGCCTCATTCTTTTCATGCTGTAATAGGATTATCATAGATGTTTGATCCTAAGCCAAAATACTGAGTAGTTTACATATGAAATAAGTGAAACTATCTAGAATTTGAATTTCCTAAAGATCAGGGCAAGGATCTTTCAACAGGCCCAACCCATAGATAAAATGCAAATTGCTGTTGAATCAGTAAGGAAGCAACAAGTTTTGAGGCTGTGCCAGGACAAAGGGAATTGTCTCACCTCTCTGACATCCTCTCACATTCCTACCTATGGAGGAAGTTTCTTCTGCCATCAGTTACTGGCTCACTCAGTCCAGGGGTCAGGGCTGTTTTCCAGTTTGTTTGAATGCCGCTTCTCTAATCAGCTGGAGAAAAGGACTCACTTATATAAGCCGAAGGAAAGGAAATGCTTCTGCGATACAGCTCACATGAATGGCTAGGACTGAGCGCTACTTGACTCCTGAAGTCCAGCTTCTGCATCTTCTCACCCCATTTCTTTAGGGCTGTTTTGACTGGGAGAAGTAGGAATTTGGGAGGCTTTCCTCTTCTGACTGGGCTCTCTTTTTCAAGGCACTTGGTGAAGGCAAGTGGAAGGCATGACCCCCTCCTCAGACAAAGATCTCAACGGGCTAGATAACTCCAGCTTTGTGGTGAGTCTGCTGTCACTGAAGGGTAATTCTTACATAAATGGGTGTGAGCCCTGTAAGGGAGAAGAAAGGGAATGTCAGGGGTTCGGGCTAGCTGCAAGGATGCTGGTGTGGTAAATGTCTGTCTCGGGTCTTATCAACAAGAATCTGAGGAATTATTTCCTCACTCCATACTGCAGATTCAGCATGCTTTCTACTATCTGGCACTCTTTTAACTTCTTTTCTCTCCATTATTTCTAAAATGATAATGTAGATGAATGGCAGGGCAAGTGTAGCTGTACTGAAAAGCAAGTGAGCTTGTACCTCCTTGTGACTGTGCTCCCAGGTAGAGAATTTTATGTGTTAATTAGTAAAATTGCAATAGAAATTTAGCCTAGTGAAGAATGTGTTTCTTTGTCTTCTGGATCTATTTCCAGTGGGTTGAATTGTCAGAAAGGTGTGTGAAAAAGGGGCTGGGGAGTCAGCAGAGGAGGGCACCCTGTCAAATTATAGCAGGATAGTAAAAGCTGAAAATAATGTGCCAATCCAGGGGGGTGCACTGCACTGCACTGTGAGAATGCTGTGGGCTGCAACAGCCATAGGGCAAGGGCCTGGGGCATGGCAAACCCCTTCCAGTCTCACAGAAGGAGTCTCCTTCATTAGAAACTAAAAAAAGCGGCTCATTTTCTGTCAGCAGGTGCAAAGCAATGCAACCATCTTGCTGCCTTGGTACAGAGCACCTGTCTGGGGGACCTTGGAGGGGGCATTTAACCTCCCAGTCTTGAAGTCCTCCATTTCTTGGATGCCTCTGTGTGAGCTTGCTGTGAGCAAGTGGAGGTGGGGGTGCTGTGCCAGCTGTGGGAACAGCCTTAGAGCCAGTTAGAGGTTTTCTTTCATTATTTTTAACAGGGTCTCTCTTTCTACTTCTGCCATAATTCATATCAGGCTTGTGATTTCCTCTGGTTTGAATCACCCCAAAGGAGGTAGAAGATAAAGGTCTTTTACCTGTGGTTCAAACAGTTCAGCCTTCCTATTGCAGTTAAATGTGGTTGAGGGCGCTGATGCTGTGCCTGGAGCCTGAAGCAGATGGAAGATGTCCTGGTCCCCTGGGTTCATGGGAGCAGCTGGACTGAGACCTCCCAATAGTGGCTCCCCTTCCCTGCTCCAGGCTGCTCCTGCCTTGTCCTCCTGCCAGTATCACAGGCTGGCTGGGGTTGGAAGGGACCTCTGGAGGTCACCTTCTTAAAATCTTCTGCTCAAGCAGGGTCACCCAGAGCCAGCTGCCCAGGACTATGTCTAGACAGTTTTTTAATATCTAAGGGTGGAGAATCTACAACCTCTTCAGGCAACCTGTGCAGTGCTTGGTCATCCTTACAGTGAGAAAGTAGTTTTGGGTGTTAAGATGGGACTTCCTGCATTTCAGTTTGAGTCCATTGCCTCTGGTCCTGTTATGTCTACTCCATCCTCCTCCTGCTGAGTCCTGCTCACTTGCTCTCCTCCAGCTCCTAGGGAGGGTCAGGCCTTCATGTGATGATCATGTGGGACTGTTACTGGCACAGGCTCGGCCTGACTGGAGTATGCCTCCTGGTTAACATGGGGAAAATTGCAATGCAAGGAAAGGAGCTTACTGCTGTCTGCCCAGCTTAACATTCATCTGCCCATGGTGTTATTCAGGAGTAGCTGTCCCCAAATAACTCTGTGCATGGGCAGTCTTAAGTACCTTCCTGTACATTTGTTAATGCATGGCTCAGGCTCTTTTGTTCTGAAATGAAAATGTCTCCACAGGTAGTTATTAAGGAACACCTTTTGCTCTTGAACTTCACGATTGGGTTCAGTTTGAATTAACTCTGCCTTCACCTATCCATTTTGAAGTATCTGCAATGCTTCCAGTTTGCCTAGGCTGGATAAATACACTGTGCTTGCTAGAGAAGCTTCTCCACCCTAGATATCCCACAGCAGAGCCTCAGGCTTTAAGTCCATTAAGGTAGTTTATTTGAGTGGTACTGTGGTAGAAACAGCTTGAGCTGGGTGCCTCTGGGGAGGGACCTTGAACATTTCTTTGTTCATCCTGAGTTCCCTCATATGACATTTCAGATCAATGACAATATTAGGGTCTGGGGTCTTCTTGTTCTTTGTTGGGTCTTTTCATTCACTCTAGGTGTTCCATTTTTTCTCTTGTCTCTGAGGCTGAGGTTTCTGCTGGTGGTTGTAGCTTTCATATTTTCCAGCTCGAATCAGCTCTGGAGGCCTTCTGCTTCCATGGCATTAGATATAAGTTCAGCATATCTGTGAAAGTTCCCAGCTTGAGGCCCATGGCTTCAGCAAGTTTAGCTACCAATGCTAAGCAGGTGGTCTCAGGCAGTTTCAGTCCAATATTCCTTAAGCATCTTTAAAAGGTACTACATGGCCTGTTTTCAACAGCATGATCTAAAATAGGACTTTAGTCCTATAGGACTTGGAGGCTCAGCCATGAGAATGGAAACCTGAAGGTTTCAGGCAAATGATGAAGTCCTGCAATATTAATCTGCCACACCTGCAAAATTCACAACAGAATGTTACATTAATTTTATATCCCTATTCCCCAACTGCAGCACTAGGTGTTTGCCTCAATCAATAGGTAGGTCAGGAGCATTTCTGCAGCCACTTTGCTGTGTTGGGCATTTCGATGTCTTCAGGTTCAAGCAAGACTTGGTGGATAAAAAAAACCCAAAACAACAAAAAGAAGTTTGGTGCTGACAAACTGGTTGAGCTTCTCCTGACAGCAGGTTTCTGTCCCTGCCTGACAGACCAGGGCATCCCAGCCCAGAAAAGCCTTCTGCTGCCAGCATGCTGAGGACTTGCTGGTTAGAGATGGGTTGATGGAACAAATGGTTTGGTATCTTAATTAGCTTTTGCATTTGGCTCAAAGCATTGTGGCTTCCCAGGCAGCCTCCCTCTGCTCCGTGCGTGTGTGCACACGTGTGTGGACAGGGGTCACAGTGGCTTAGAAGGAGGAGTGGACAACCAGGAACACTTAACTTAAAAGCTAAAGTTTAGAAACTTAAAAGACACATTTTGCAAAGCAGTGTTTTGCTTTGCAAAATGTGTCTTTATATAAGTAAATTCTGCAAGGCATACAGCTCCCTGGGGAGCCCTGTAGCTTCTGGCTGCCTGGGAGGGGATCTGAGCCTTCCCGGGGAGCTATTTCAGCCAGCTCCTTTGGAATGGATGCTGGGATTCCCCATCCACTGGTGTCCCTGCGTTTCACCCAGTTCCTCTGTAGGAGCAAGGTCTCCTAGTAAGACAAAAGGCAGGTTTGTCTGACAGAACACTAGCGAGGGTGAGCATAAAGAGTTTGGGAAGAGAGGAACAAGGAAATGAAATACGGAAACATGCTTCTACTCAGTAATTAGTGGCAGCCAGGTGTTTTAGCATATTTTATCAAAAATGCTGTTTGGGTAGAACTGCTAGGAGGAACAGAGACCAGAGGACAGTGCAACTTTCACCTATGAAATCTTTCTTGCTTCTGGTTGCAATTTCTCCATCCTTAGCTAGACTTTAATGATACTAACACACTTTGTCCCTTTGAGGTTGAGACACCCTCTAATATTTCTTCAGGTCTATACACACACATGCATATATATAAATTTTCAATAGGTGTTTTGTACCTCTGTTTTAATTTCTCTTCCTTGTTTTTTTTGGTTGGTTTTTTGGGGGGGAGTGTTGGGTTTTTGGTTTTTTTTTTAAATCTACTTGGTTGGGGGGTTTTGTTTGTTTGGGCTTTTTGTGGTGTTTTTTTTTTTAAAATATCCTGGCATTGTTGAAAGCTACATAGTAGGTGTTCCTGCCAGAGGTGGAGAATGGAGGTGGTGGATTCACCATCCCTGGAGGTTTTCAAGACAAGACTAGATGTGGCATTTAGTGCCATAGTCCAGTAACCACGGTAGGGCTGGACTCAATGATCTCTGAGGTCTCTTCCAACCTGGTTGATTCTATGATTCTATGGCTGCAAGAGAGGCAGCTGCTGTGTGCCTGCAGGGCCAAGCTGTGGCTAACAAAGGGTCTCTCCTGTTGTCCAGGGTGAAGATGGGAGCCAGTACTGCTCCTCACCAGATCGTACTGCCTGGAGCCCAGAGGAAGGTGGGGGCACTGGCCACGGTGGCATCCAGCTTGCCTACACTGTCACAGATGTGCCTCCTTGGTATCTGTGCATCATGCTGGGCATTCAGGTGCGATGGGGGAGCAGGTGGAGGCTGGGGGTGGATGGAAGTTTCATAGCTGTCCAGCCAATTAATGGGGGCAAAACCTGAATTTGAGAGTACTTTACATTCACTGGCCATGACTGGAGCTGTAGCTCAGAAAACTAAAATCCTTCCCACCACATCCTGAGTACTGACTGATATCCTTGTGCCCACAGCTACACTGCACCCCTTGAAGTGCAAATGGTAAGGCAAAGTCCTGGGACTGGGGTCAGATATTTAATAAGAACAGTTTGGGTACCTTGGCTGAAGACAAGCAAGGTTAATAATTAAAGCAAAAAGAAGTTAGAAAAATTATTTTCACATCTAGTCATTAACTGAAGGTCATTTGAGAAATGTCTGTGGCTCTTCTGACATACAATGCCCAGTTCTTCCATTCTTGGCATCCACTTTTTATGGTTATCCTTAACTGCACTGTGTGAGGAAAAACTACTGATGGCAAAGAATGTGTAGTTTCAATTTGTCAAATTTTTATCTTATCTTTTGTGGTGCAATTAAGAGGACTGAAATATTTGCATTCACTTTGTATGATTACTCTCCCCCTCTATCTTGGGATGTCCCCACCTTCCTGTAAGAGTAGCCCTGACAGCTTTGTCTGCAGGTGCTGGGGATAAACCGGTTCTCTCTGATAGTGGTATGGGGAGTCTAGAGCACTACAAAAGGTCTTTGGGCATGGAAAGCAGGAGAAATTTGAGTGGGTGCATTGCAATTATTGTAGGTACTTTGGAAGAGCCCCTAACAGCATTAAAGCTGCCAGAAAAAAAGAGGGAATGGGTCATACCAGTATCATCCAAACAAATCTGTGAATGACTTTCAGATTTCCCTCAAAAACACGGTAATAATATACAGCCAGTTCTGTGTCCTTCCTCAAACAGTCTTTCTCTGTGGCTCCTAGCATTTCCTGACAGCCATGGGAGGTCTTGTAGCCATCCCGCTGATCCTTTCCAAAGACCTTTGCCTCCAGCACGACCTACTTACCCAGAGCCACCTGATCAGCACCATCTTCTTTGTCTCAGGAGTTTGCACCCTGCTGCAAGTCCTCTTTGGAGTCAGGTAGGCCAAATGCACAAACTGGGACATGTGACACAGCTGTTTTTCAGATGCAATTACTGTGTGCTCAGCCACCAGCCTGCTGTAGAGTTTATCTATCAGTGTGGGTCATTTGCTACCCTTGGGCAATCAGTGCACATGCCAAAACACCCTGAAATTACTGTACGTGATTTCACCTCTGTTCTGACTTCTCTGTCTCCTGGTACTTCATACACCTTTTGTGGGGCTTGTAAGAAATCTGTCCGCAAAGTAATAAAGCACTGGAACATGCAGTAAAAAGTATCTGCTTGCTTCTTACTCCAGAGATCCTCCAGATGAGGCAGGACCCTTCTGATCTGGGCCCGGTATCAAGGAAACACAGATTCTGTAGGAAACTCAAGGGCAGGGGATAATTAAGAGAAACTGAAGTCCATCTGCTGCCACTTAGGGGCACAGGGAGGAGCTTTGCAGCATGTCCTGTTAAGTAGTGCCACTTTCTGTGCTCAAGGATTCATGGCACAATCTGAATGTAGGCAAGGTAAATCCTCTTTGCTGATAAGTAGTTTAAGAGTAGGTAGTGAGCGAGCATGGAGTTGCCATTCAGTGCCCAGAAAATGAAGCACTTAATGACAGACAAGACTGCAAGCACTCCCTCTTTTCCAGAAAAACCCTGTATCTTTGCTGATCTTGCAAAATTGTTCCCCTTGTCATAACTCTGGGCTGCCTCTCTTTCCACAGGCCATTTTTTCCTCCAGTATGGTGAGAACCCATGTTTCTTGCTTCAAAGACAAAATTGTTAAATTATTTGGCTTCTGAATCTGAGGGACCTGTTTAAAACTTCTGCCATCAAATCACTGGTCAACTGCCACCTCCACAAAATGTTTTTACTCCTCCTGTCTCTTTCACCACTGGAACCTTTTAATCTCTCTGTCTTAGTAAGTGGCTGTAGAAAAGCTTTCCCTGGAGGATGCTCTCCTTCTCCTACACTGCTACAGGATTAGTGGAGGAGGGGGGACAACCTGTCCATGAGAAAGAGAGAATCCAGTTCTTCAGCTAAATTCAGGCTGCAGTGCATGACCGTGGCTGTGGCTGCTGGTGTGGTTCAGGCTGGAGTCCTCCCAGGCACTCTTTAAATGCCTCAGTGAATACCTGAGAGCTGTGATGTACTCTGCTAGCTGTTAGCCAAGGAGGAAATAGTAGCAGGGGGCCTTTCTTGTGGCTGAATAGCTAAGCCTGAATGATTTTTGCTATGCTGAGGATGCAGTTGCCTTGTTGCTGACCCCAACTATAAGGCATGAGGACATTCCTGTCAGAAAGGTGGGACTCAGCCTGCAGTGTGGCTGGACACAAACCAAGCCTGAGAAGACAGCTGGAAGCAGATCTCTTTTTCTCCTTTTACTGTTTTCTGAAACCTTGTAGTAGTTGATAACCATAATAAAAAGTAGTTGATAACCATAATAAGCCAGAAAAGTGTTAAGTAATGGGTTTCCAGGGATGCTTTTCCCTGGAAAACATCTGTGCCACTCTCCAAAGCCCTGAGGAGCCCTCAGCCAAGCAATCGGCACAGTTCCTGGTGTCAGTATATAAGACTAATTCAGAGGAAGAGACATGGAGATGATCTGTTAATATGGCACGGAAAAAGGGGATCATTCGTCTTACAGAGGCTGACCCGGTTAGTGTGGCAAAGTGGCAGCTCTGGGCTGCAGCTGCAGTGGGTGGCTAGGTTGTGAGAGAAGTGGGAGGGGATCAGGCAGGCAGAAACCATTTTGGCTAAAAGGCGGTGTTGGCATATGAATGAACAGATGGGAATTAGCTATGAAGTTGCAGAGGTTCCCTCCCACTACGAGCGAGTGCAGTTCTGAAGAAGCCCTCCAGAAACAATAGCCAAGGGAAAAGCCCAACACACTCCAACCTGCAGTTCAGTCGTGTTACGCGGCATGAAATAGTACCAACAGGGCCCAGGCAGTCATGGGAGACACTGTCCAAATGGCTTCTGAGGGGACACACACTTGCCATTATGGTGAGCCCTGCTCAGACATCATGTAGTGATGATCAGAGCATAACATTTCCTTCTCTAATCCTGTAGTTTTCCCTCTTACAAACCTCATTAGAAAGGTTTCAGTGTGCCCCATGAGCATTGCCTGGGCATCCCAGTTTGCTCTGAGCCCACCCATGGCTGCACTGGTCATGAAATAGCTTGAGGTCCAACACAGCAGGAGCTATAAATCTATTGTTAATTTAACAGTGGTGGCACTGGGCCTTCTCTGTTTCTTTTTGTTTGTTGGGTTGGGGTTTTTTTTGCCTTGCCCAGCAAAATCTATTGAAGGCTGCAACGTATTTGGCCAAATGCTGTATGTGACTCCACAGATGACTGATACTCAAGTTTAACTCACCGGCAATGCTTTGACAGTGCTTCGGTTGTGCATGGCATGACTAACTGCAGTGGTACAAACATTTGTTTCAGGTGACAGAGACATGGTGCTGTTACAGCTATTCCATCTCTTATTTTTGAGTGCTTTCCAGAGAATGGTGGGAATGCCTCTGATTCAGGGAAATATGCGCCCTGCAAAATCACTCACTTGCTGCTCCGCTGCTTTTCTGAGAAGAGGCCATGAGAGCTCTTGGCGCAAGAAGATACTGCTCTGGGGGATCCTCCTAGAGATGCGTCCTAAAGTGAGGAAGCAGAGGCACCTCAGGAGTTTTCCCTCTGCTGTTTCAAGGCTGCTGTGCAGCCCTCAGGCAGCTTTGGGTTTTTCAAGCATGCTAGAGGAATGGACAAGACAACTTGCACTGCAATGAGGGCTTAATGCAAGTAGGGCTTTCAGGAGCCAGTCAGGCCTTTTAGGTCTCTGTCTCCATTTTTTCATTTGTGGAAAGAGACTGGTGTAGCTCATAGGAGCATGGCTCTGCTGTATAAAGCTCTGTATAAAACCAGTGCTGAACTTCTCTGGAGATGCAAACTCCTTGCTAGCCTGAGGGATTCCCAGAGGGAGAGCCAGGAGACACTCGGTGTGGGGGGAGAGCCAAGGTCTCACCCAGTCAGTGCCCTTAGACTGCTCCATGCAGGTTTCCTTCCTAGTGTTGGTGGAAATGCAGCAGAGGAACTGGCTTTAAAACCTGGTGTACTGAGAGCCAAGCCACATTTTCTACCACACTTAATCTGAGGATAATTGCGAAGTGGGGAGTAGCCAGTGCATGTCCTTGTGTTCATGAGCAGGTTGTGAAGAAAACTGAGGCAGCTGAAAGGGATGGAGAAAGCAGCTGGATATTGGCAAGATTTGGGCCTAGGTTGATGCTGAGCTTTTCTTCAGAGTCTCACCATCCTTCTTCCTTGGTCTTCTACCCTCCTCTAGATTTTTTTCTTTGGCTATTGCTGTTCTCTGTGCAGTTCTATGGTCTCATCAGTCCTTAGGAGGACTATTTTCTCCTTAATGCAGGGCAGCAGCATTTGACTGTAGCACATTGCTTCCCCATTGCTGGTGTCTGAACCTCAGCTCTTCCCCTGTGTCGTTGCTCTTTCATGCAATGGGCAAAAATTCCCACCCACGGTCAGTGATTGAGACCTGCCAGAACATTTCAAAAGATACTGTCAGAGTCCATAGGCAGACTGATTTTTTAAATTTATTTCACTTTACTTTTGCTCACTGCTATGGAGCCAAGTTTCTAGCATTCTCATTCATCATCTTTTCCTTCTGCTTCCCTTCCAGGTTGCCTATTATTCAAGGAGGGACTTTTGCATTCCTGTCCCCCACCGTGGCAATGCTGTCTCTCCCCAGTTGGAAGTGCCCTGCCTGGACGCAGAATGCCACCCTGGTGAATGCCTCTTCACCAGAATTCATCAAAGTCTGGCAGACACGGATGCGAGAGGTATAATACATTTTTTAGTGATATCTGCTCTGTATCAGGGCTTTCAGAAAAGTTCCTGACCATGTCATGGCCATCACTGCTGGAGAAACTTCTATTCCAAATGGCCCTTGGCCCTCACCCTGTTGCAGCTTCCTAAGCATCTGTTCTCTGTCAAAAATCCAGGTGCTTCACTACTGCTGAAGAGGGGACATGCAGAACTCCTTGGGTGATTTATGGTTCCTGAAAGATCCCTTCTCCATGAGGCATAGTTAGTCTTGAGGAAGCAAGGGAGGGAAAATGTTTCCAAGGAAAGGACCCTGTCTAAGCACAGGAAACCTAGTCAAAAGAAATGCAAGGCAAAACCAACCGTAAACATTAAGGAAAAGTGCATTCTTAGGTAGTCAAAAGAGAAGAGGAAAGGTCAGTGATGTCATTGCCTCATTCTACATCTATTGCTTCATCAGAGCAAGTGGCTAAATTTGCCTCTGCTGATTCATTCGTTTGTGTGCTTTGCAAACCACCTGGGAAGTGTTGATAGCTCACCAAGTATTTGCTGTGCAGCACAGGCTGCCCTCCCTGCTGAATACACATAAATCTATCACAAGGGCATTGATGACTTCTCCTTTCAGGCTGGGTATTTCACCCAGCCCCTGTGTTTTTCTCTGCTTTGGAGCTGGGGGAAGGAAGGTGCTCGGTACCACAATGGGCCCAGCCTGGACTTATCACCAGATCTGAGAAGGCAGAGAGCAGCCTCACCCCTGAGTCCCCTGCCTGAAGCTGAAGTGAGCAGCATTTCAAATTTAATTGCTGTCTCCTTAGCAGTGATTGTCAAACACAGGGAAGTTCCGTGTGATAAATGTGTTCCCAGAATGAAACTGATACTCAGAAAAAACAGAGGCTGTAATGACCCACCTGTCACACCAATGTGTTGAAGTGACTCAAGCCTTCCCAGAAGGGAGGTGAGTGGAGACCATGGCCCTGCTGTTGGTTTTGGGGTGAGAGCTTTCCCCTGCTTTGGGGGAGTGGGAAGAAGAGTGCAGGGCAGCTGATGCATGCTTGGGTGGCCCAAGAGGAGAGGAAGGAGGGGATCTCTGGAACAAAATTAGCCCCAGTGAGGAATAAATCCATCAGCCAAGGGGGGAGTTGGTATGCTGCTGGTTTGGTGGTCCTTCCCCACGC